TATACATATACATATATACATATAAATATATATATACATATATATCATATACATATACATACACATACACACATACACACATACACACACACATGCACCTGGCATGGAATGGCAGCGAATCAAACGCTGATGACTAGTTTAGACTATACGTTTGGGGTATTAACAGAGAGGCAGATATAGGCGGTTGTCCGAGATGCATACAAACACAGGTTGTATCAATTAGTCCCGTTATATCACAGTTTTGTATCTATTTATAGCCCCCAATCAGATCGTAGACGACTTGTATATCTACCTGTTCAAGGCCCGAGGGATTGGTAACTGCCGCTCCATTGATGCGTTCTCCCTGACCCGTCTCAGCCAGGAATTGTCGCAAGATGAACTGAGACCATATGTATCATTATAGATGGTTTAGGGTTTTAGTACTTAGGATCAACATGTACAGTAAGCATCATCTGTAAATCCACATATAAGTGTATATCCATACACATACGTATAACGTATCTATATGGAAGAACTATTTTTACTTAGCATAGTTATCTATACTCCATATACCTGCATATCGACCTATCTACAAGAATATAACCCCCTATACATACATCCACACACATATACGGGTGGAGTGTACACACGTATCTACCTACCTGCGTGCTGAGATAGTGTTCACCCAAAGGCCCATCCACCACCATCTGAAACAGATCAATATCGGCCACACTCTGAGATGTGTCGTAGAATTTGGACTGATCCATTTCAATCTGTAGCCGCAGTTCATCTGCCCCGATTCTCAACCTATTGTGTGACGTTTCCATTATCGGGTGTTAGGACATTTGTAAATGGGGTCCAGTATTGAATATCAAGGGCTTGTACGGCCCTTTTTCCCAGGCATTCAGATGCAACCAAATCGGCTACAAATCGCCGTCCGTCTGCCCCGTTTCTCAACCTAACAAACATGTTTTGTTTCCCTTATCGGGCATTGGGACATTTGTAAATGGGGTCCAGTAATGAATACCAAGGGCTCGTACGGTTCTTTTTCTGAGGCATTCAGGTGCAGCCCAGCCTGCTATAGCTCGGATGCCTCTCCTCAATCGGGTCTAGTTCGCACCCAGGGTGCTAGTCAGTACAGGCAGTAGAATGAGTGGGGTATGGAGTATCTAAGAGGTCACACCCCGATGTTTAAACCACTAACCGCAGGACTTCCCCACACCCCCTACCCCCACCACCGCCACAGTATTTAGCAGACAGTCTCCTTGTGGTCCGTGGGGTGTTACAAGTGTGTGACTGAGATGGATGGGGCACCAGAGCAGCACTTTAGATTGGTTGTGTTCATTGTTTGCACTGCTATAGGCACAAGATTCACACACGAAGGTTCACACACATTGGGCAAATGTACACATGTACATCTGTTTTTATACATATGAATATATCTATATATTAATATAATATATATATATATATATATTATATATTAATATTTTATATATATATATATATATATATATATAAATATAATATAATATATATATATATATACATATACGACAAACACACACCACACACATACACATACACGTCCACATAT